AAAATAAATATAAAGTATATATTTAGTTTGATTTATCTAAACGTGTTCATTTCCGTTTATTTATTACTTTTAATTCTTACAATCTATTTTAACTTCTCTTATCTAAATAAGTCCATTTCCCTTCCTTGCTCACTTCTTTACTTTCAAATTAAACATACTCTCAAATCTCAATTTATTATTTTCATATAATATTTAAAATGAAGGCCATTCATCCCCAAATGGAAGAATTTTAATAATTTTAATGATACTCCTTGTACCCAAATTGCCATTGAAGTGGGAAGGGAGGGATTGGAAAGATAATCATCGTCTTTCTTATGTGCAAAGAATATTTCATTGTGATAAAAATTAGTTCAAAAGGAAGGAAAAGAAAAAAAATAATGAAAAGAACTCTATATATCCAAAATCATTTCTTAATTACTGTTCATACATGCTAGTGCACTTGTATGTATGTTTATTGAGCTTGATGAGTGAGTTAGAATGAGTCATATTTAATTTGAATCAATGTTTTTGGACCCAACTCAGTGGTTGACTCATTTTGACCATTAAATTTAGTTCAATCGATTGAATTGGTTCATTCGATTAATCCAACAATCAATTAAAAAACACTTTTTTATTTTTACATATTTATTAGATTTTACTTTCTTCATCAACTGTCAACCTCTACCAGTCCCAAAAACTTCCATCTCACCATCATCTTTGTCGAACTTCTTTCAGATCTTCTCTCCTCGATTTCCTGACCTTTTTTTTTTTAAAAAAAAATTTCCTTGATTTTTCCTCTGGGCTTCCTTCCTTGGTCCCGATTCTCTTTCAAGTTTCAATTTTGAGATCTACTTCAACCTCGACATTCATCATTATCATCACCAAATAGCCACAGAAGCCTGGATCGAAGGGAGGATAAAAAAAAAAAAAATCAGACGAAGAAGGACAGAGATTCACGAGAGAGTTTCTAATCGCTGATTGGCTTTGCAAAACTGTGTTGATCAGTGATAGAGGTTTTACAACCGAAGATACCTTTCCAATCCAAAATCCGCATTTCTCACCGCTAAATCGACTTTGTGGAACAGTGTTGATCGATTTTTGCTATGAATGAGTAGTTAATGAAGGCGAAGATGCAAAGCGTGTTCACAAGTTTGATTGCTGCGAAATCGATTCCTAAGAGCTTGCACTGCTTGTCAATGAGGTTGATGGAGGAAAGGATCGCACACTCGAAGAAATATAGTAACGACAGATTCTACCCGATGAGTGGAATGGATTGGGTGGACGAAGCGAGTCAAACGAGTCAAGCAGGTTTGAGTGGGTTAACTCTCAAAACGAGTTAAGGCATATAATCGACCCGTTTTTAAGTCCAAGTCTGATTGAACCGATTCGACCGACTGAGTTAAATTGGATCTTAAAACACTGATTTGAATTTTTAGATCTTAGAGTCTGAGTCTGCATTTTAATCTTAACAACTTAACGAGATAATCAATAATACAACATCCTCTTCTGTAACAGTACTAGCTAGGCAGTTGGCATCAAATTGTGGGCTTGACGATGCCTTCATCGGATAAGCACATGACCCGGTAGTTGCTAGTTGGTGCTCTAGCCTAACCAGCATCACGAGACTGGCATGGCGTCACTAACATTATATTATGCAGATTCCTCAGACCACTATTTCTTCCTTCTCGATTTCTCATTTTTTTGCAACACTAATGTCTTCAACAGATTCATTCCTATCGCAGAAAGCTGGAGCAACACGCGCGAGACATCGATGCGTTTGTGCACTTTTATAGAGGTTGACAGTCTGAGGAGACATTGTGTAGAAAGGAGAAATTATGCTTTGATCAACCTTTTTTTTTTGTTTTTGTTTTTTTTTTTTTTTGAGCTTTTGCCAAGTGCCAACGTTCTTGATCATCCTTAGAGCCGGCCAATTATGATTTTTGTGGATGGGTATCGTGGTGTGGTGGATTGATAAAGATGTTTATTGCCTTTGCCTCTTTTATGAATTCAAGGGATATTTCTACAGAATCTTTCAGTCTAGGAAAACAAGAGCGCGTTCGATTTAGCAACAGACATGTTACGGAGTCCCGGAGTCAAAGAGTAGAGAAGGCAGAGGATAAGAGTAGCATGCAGATAAACTCATTTTGGCCGAACTTATACCAGCTGATTTCAAAACTTTGATTTGAAATTAATATTGAGGGTTTAAATCCCAACAATACTAAAAAGAACAAATTTTAACCCATCACATGAAA